GCCGTGGCATAGAACACGGCGCTGGGCAGCAGTTGGTCGGTCAAGTGGATGGGAAAGAAATACGTCTGGCTGGCTCTGTTCAGCCTAGAAGGCAGGAGAAAGAAGAAGGAGGGAAAAATATATTGGTATCTACAAATGATCATTTCTTTGGTTGCTGTATATTTATTTATTTTTATTTTTGGACAGGTAGTGTCCAAACCGAGCTTTTTCTGCACACTGCAAGGGTGATTTCCCCTTGAAAGCCGCTGGGGATTTGCCCCCTGGCATCCGTGGGGCCCTGAATGGATTCCTCCTTCTGACATGCCGCCCCACTCCTGCCCCGATGCGCCAACTGGGCATGGTCGGTCAGAGCCAAGGGGGTGCAAAGAGGCTTGAGGCTCCGGAGATGCCCATCGAGGCCAACCCTCTTGGCATTCGCACACGGGCAAGGCCCCTGCCCTCCGTCCCGCCGGTCCTGGCCAGAACGGGCAGGAATCCAGCGCCCGAAGATCCGGTGGGCAGCTGACTTACTTGATCTTCAGCGAGACGCCCTGGGGTACCCCGACGCTGACCGTGGCCCCCAGGACGCTGTGCTTGGAGATCTTCCGCTCCGCTCCGTACTCCACGACGGTGCCAAAAAAGCCAGCTCTGGAAGGGACAAAAAAAACACCAGATGCCGTCAAGGAAGCCAGAAAAGCGGCGTTAGGAAGGGCCCCTGGAGGTCTTCTAGTCCAACCCAAGACCATGTCAGACAGGTCCACTCTGTTCTTAAAAGCCTTCAGTGATGGAGCACTCACAATTCTGGAAGGCAAGTCATTCCATTTGTGCCTCTTTCCTTCCCACCCTCCACCTGTCTGTCCTGCGTCTTCCCTATCTCAGAATCATAGAATTGCAGGGTTGGAAGGGACCTTGGAGGTCATCTACTCCAACCCCCTGCTTGAGCGGAAGACCCTCTACCATTCTGGACAAGTCTCTTGTATAACCCACTGACTTTCCTTCTTCCTCTTTTTGATGCTATATCCCACCCTAATCCAGCCCCAGACCTCAGAAGGATTAAAAAAAAATCAATAATAAAGATGATGTCAGTGCTTGCCAGCCTTCGGAACCAGGGGATTCTGGGAGCTGTTGGGGGATTCTGGGAGTTGAAGTTCAGACATCTTAAGGTTGCCAAGGTAGGGGAAGAGACAGGGGCACCAGTGTCCCAGATCTTCCTCCGGAGATCAACACCTCTAAGGGCTTCCCTGCCCCAATTTCACACCACACACTTTCTCTAGGGCCCATTCAGTGCCCGGCCGCCGGTTCCGACATACTTCAGGGACCCTTTGACCCGTGTCTGATCTTCATCCTGAAACTTGTGCTGGTAGCTGACCATGACGAAGGAGTGGGGGATGCCCAGCTGCCAAGATTGCAAAGAAATAAATTAAATCAAATTAAACATGGCCGACATTGAAGTCAAGGCCCAAAGTCACCGAAGAGGGAATCTTCCCACCTGGAAGGCCATGGTGAAGTGGCTGGATTTGGTGTCCCGGACGAGGCTGGTGTTCATGGCGGACTGGATGCCCCAGCGCCACTGCAGGTAGCCCATGGTGTTCTTGTCCAGATTCCGGGCCAGCACCGTCGTAAGGCCGGGACGGATGCCACGCGAGGAGAACTGGAGGGCGCAGTTCGTGGTGACGAAGCTGCCCGGGATGCCAAGACGGAAAGAAACGGAGCAGGAGTGAGAAAGAAGGCCCTAAAGACGTCCATTGCAGCCAGTCCTCGACTTATGACAACAAGTGGAGCCCCCAACATTTCTCTGGCTAAGTCGTTAAGTGAGTTTCACTCCACTTGACGGGCCTTCCTTGCCCCGGGGTTTGAAGCAAAAGTCACCGCAGTTCAGTTAGCCGCCATGGCTGTGGAAGCGAAGCTGGTTTCCCTCCTCCCCGTCGCAAAAAGGGATGGAAGGGTCACACCGCAACCTTCCCCGGGGGTCCCTTTGTGGGGGTCCCTTCGCAAGAAACATCTTACCATCGCTGCGTGAGATTGCGAAACATCTTCAGGCCAAAGACGGGGCCCTGCAGGTCTCCGGCTCCGAATTCTAGCTGTGGAAACGGAAGAGAAGAAAGAGGAATTACTGACAGTCCTCGTCTTATGGCTGTTTCTGTCCGGTTCTGTCCTGTATTCTATATTCTATTCTATTCTATTCTATTCCTATATTCTATTTCTATTCAATTCTATATTCTATTTTATTCCTATATTCTATTCAATTCTATTTTCTATTTTATTCCTATATTCTATTCTATATTCTATTCTATATTCTATTTTATTCTATATTCTATTCAATTCTATTTTCTACTATCTATTCTATTCCTATATTCTAGTTATATTCTATTCTATTTTCTCTTCTATATTCTATTCTATTCCTTATTCTATTCTATTCTAATTTTCTATATTCTATTTTATTCTCCTTTTCCTCCCCTTCACTCTTTCTCCTTCCTTCTCCCTCTTCCCCTCCTCCTCCTCCTTCTCCCTGCAAACCACTTACCCTTCTAACATTGAAGATGTTACCTAGTTGGGTCATGAGACGTCTGCAAGAAAACTCCCCAGCCCAGAAAGCACCAAGGACCCCCGAGTCCAACCCAATTTCCTCCCCCTTCGAAGCAAAGCAAATCAGCCTCAAAACCTGCCCCCCGCCCCCCTTTCCCGGTTTACCTCTCCCCATCCTTTGGCGGAGGTCACCCGCCGGAGTCCCAGGCTGACCGAGCCGCCGCCATTGCCGTTCTGCGTCGAGAGGTTTCCCGAGAGGATGGCGGTGTCCGTGGTCGTGAGCGGGGCCTGTGCAAGAACGAACGGATCGAGCCAGTGAGCCAAGTTAGAAATGAGCCAATGAAGTTCTTTGAAAGCGCGAGGCACCCTCTGGGGGACAGAATGGGGGAAACAACCACAAACAGCAACACACACAGAAGCCTCTCACCTCGATGGACTGCGATATGTGCATCCGGTTGATTTCGATGTGGGGGAAAGGGCTGGCCGACACGTCTTCAAACTCCTCGTCATAGCGGTCAAACAGGTCGGTCGCATCCACTCCGACGCTAATCGTGCCCTGCGCAATTGGGACAGATCCTTGGGGTTAACGGACGGTGAGAGCCTTCGCGTCTGGAATTGCAGGCAGTCCTCGACTTCCAATCCACAAGCGAACCCAATGGAGGAAGGAGTTAACAGACCGGCTACCTCCTACAAATCCCACCCTAATGACTCGTTTAATGATGGCATCACTTAGCGACTGATAATGTCAGTCCCGGATTGCAGTCGTAAGCTGAGGACTAGCTGGATGGAAGCTGCTCGTTTTATCATCCTCGCGGGGTTTCATCCACCGCTTGGAGATTTAAACTCACCTTCTAGGAAATAAGTACATTTACAAACAGGAGGACAAACACAACGTGATTTTGACAATCCCAGAGTCTTACTTTGGGGTTCGTCCGCTGCTGAAGCCGCCTCTCTTCCCTCTCGCGCTGCAATTGTTCAAATTCCTCCCGGATTTCGGCCGGGGTCCTCCTCCTTTCGACCACCTCAATGGGACAGAAATTCATTTTTTCCCCCGTAAGTTTTTTATTTTTAAACAGACATACACAAAACACAAACAAAACAACCCCCCCCCATAAAACCATCTTTCAGTTATATGCAGTGTGTCGGTTGGTACCAGTCTCTTGTGTGCCATCTCTACACTTATCCCCTTCTAATTACATTTTAATCCTCATGTATAAATTATATATATTTCTAGTATTATCATTATTATTTATTAGACTGTTACTTGCATTTCATCATTTTATGAGCAAATCCCCATTCTGACTTAGCCTACTTTGTAACATTCATTTCATCAACATTCATCTATTCAATAATATTTGGGACAGAAATTCATTTTTAAGGGGTCACCGGTTAACAAACGCGGACAAAATGGAAAGTCATCCATTCAGAAGACCTTCTGACCTGCATTTCCCTCCCTCCCTCCCTCCCTCCTGCTCTTCAAACTGGCTGCAGAGATACTTGTCCAGTCTCCTGCTGGACCAGGGGTTGGACTAGAAGACCTCTAAGGTCCCCTCCAACTGTTATAGACTTACAACAGTTCATTTAGTGACCGTTTGAAGTTAGAACGGCACTGAAAAAAAGTGACTTAGGGCCATTTTTCACACCTATGACCGCCGCAACATCCCCGCAGTTGTGAGTTTTGGGCACTGACTCGTATTTATGATGGTTGCAGTGTCCCAGGGATCCCCTTTTGCGACCGTCTGACAAGCAAAGTCACTGGGGAAACCAGACTGGCTTCCCAAACTAACTTAACCAGATTCACTTAATGACGGTGGCAAGAAAGGGCGTAAAAAAAGCCACTTTTAAAAACCGTCTCGTTTAGGGGCGGCTCCGTTGGGCTTGATTGTGGCCGTAAGTCGAGGACTTACATTTTTTCCCTCCAAATCAAGGGAAGTTTCTAGCTTACCGAGGAGAGACCGTCCTTCACCAGAGATTATGGGGAAGAAATCCCACCCACCCCGGCTCAAGCTCTTAAAACCCTCGGCATGAAAAATCCAGGGGATTAAATTATCCGCAGGGCCAAGAAAGGTGAAACGGATGGCGAACAGCCAGGATGAAAGAATTTACAGCCAATGATTTTTATCTCCGGGTCTCTTTTGGGGCCAGATGGAAAGGACCAAAAAAATAAATAAAAGGCATCTGCGAAAAAGCCCATTTAGAGATTCTGGCCACATCTGCCGGATCTGACCCCGAGGTTAAAAACATCTGGCCTGGGTGTGAGCTCATTGGAGGATGCTTTTCTTAGGAAAATGGATGGGTCAGGGGGTTAGAGAGATTGGCTCTGCAGCTGAGCAGAGGGAGGTCAGGCTTATTTGGGGGGGGGGGGGGGGGGGGGAGAAAAAGAAAGAAAAATAAGGCTGGGGCCGAAGAAAAGTGAGCCCGCCTTAAACCCCCCTTCTCAGCTGTCTTTTCACCCCAGCTACCACCTCTGGGCAGCCGATCTGGACTGCGTCGTTTCTCATATGGATATACAGGGGGTTATGGGCATCATTTTGTATTTGTATATTTATTTATTTATTTTGTCATGTTGATGTGTATATTGGGAGGGGGAGGCCCTTTGAGAGCCGCATGCAACGAAATTTCATTTTAATGTATGCCTATTAGTGTACATTTAAAGTGACAATAAAGTTCTATTGTATTGTATTCTAGATTCTATTCTATTCTATATTCCCTTCTCTATTCATCTGTTCTATTCTATACTCTATTCTATTCTTTCTCTTCTCTATTCTACTCTATATTATTCTATTCTGTTCTATTCTATTCTATTCCATTCCATTCCATATTCTCTTCTATATTCTCTTTCATTCTATTCTTTCTCTTGTCTTCTATATTCTACTCTATATTATTTCTATTCTATTCTATTCTATTCTATTCTATTCTATTCTATTCTATTCTATTCTATTCTATTCCATTCCATTCCATTCCATTCCATTGTTCTACTTTCTTCTATTTTACTGTTATCTATCTATCTATCTATCTATCTATCTATCTATATCTATATCTATATCTATATATCTATATATCTATATCATCTATATCATCTATATCTATATCTATATCTATATCTATATCTATATCTATATCTATATCTATCTATATCTATATACAGTGGACAGCAGCTCTCTCTCTCTCTTCTTCTTACCTCCCATCCTTCCATCTCAAGGCCTCGCTTTCCATAAATGTCATAGATGGCTCGGGTCTGAGGGTCACTGAGCACTGGAAATGAAAATCGAGATGGTATTATACGAAGCTGCCACTTTGGAGGCTGAGTTCACAGCCAAACCTCTGCACCCAATCCATGCAAACACATTTCCAGCGCCTTTTCACAATTATTTTTAGAAGACAAAAAAAAAAAAAAAACCAACAACCCACACACAAAAAAGCAGGCCACCCCATTCACACGCAGTGAAACGACTGTCGCTCTCTAGAGAGGTATTTTTAAGCCTTTAAAAAATAAATGAATTCTGTCTAGCCCCAAACCTCAGCACCTTTCCAAAAACTGGATTTCAAACTGAGGCACTGGGGAGGGGAAGACCAGAAGGTTTTAGAGGCAGAAACGGCAGGCACTCCTTTCCGGCTCCTTAAAATCTTGCTCGAAATTCTAGTTAAGGATGTTGTAAATTGTTGTTTGTCAACCTTGGCCATCTTGAAGATGAGCGGGCTTTGCCTCTCGGAATTCCTCAGCCAGCCATGCTTGTTTTTTCTCCTCTCCCACTCCCTTCCCCAGAGCGGAGAGGATGCAGAGGGAGGGTTTACAAGAGAGTAAGCAGGCCACAATGGGGATACACGTTGGAAAGAAGGGAGGGAGGGAGGAAGGAAAAAGAAGAGGGAGGGAGGAAGATGAGGGAGGGGGAGGAAGGAGGGAGGGAAGGAAGGAGGAAGGAAGGAAAAAGAAAAAAAGAATAGGGAGGGAGGGAGGAAGATGGAAGGAGGGAGGGAAGGACGGAAGGAAGGAAGATGAGGGAGGGGGAGGAAGGAAGGAAAAAGAAAAAAGAAAGAATAGGGAGGGAGGAAGATGGAAGGAGGGAGGGAAGGAAGGAAGATGAAGGAGGGGGAGGAAGGAAGGAAAAAGAAAAAAGAAAGAATAGGGAGGGAGGATGATGGAAGAAGGGAAGGAGGAAGGAAGGAAGGAAGGAAGGGGATGCCTGGAGAATTCTGGGAGTTGAAGTCCACCCATCTTAAACCAGCCAAGGTTGAGAGAGCCTGCGGTCTATCATTCCGCTCACGTCGAGAGTAATCGGAGGCCAGAAATGCTGAGCCTTCCAAAAAAACCCAGAGCCAAATTTCTCCAGCTAATCTCTGGGATTTAATAAGAAATCATTTATTTACTATTTCTCTCCGGGCCCAAGCTACGGACAGCGCCAAAACTGCCAGCCTTGCAGTTTTGCTGGGAAAAGAAAAGAAATGCCAAATCTGGCCGGCTGCTTAATTTACTTCAGCTTCGGTTGCTTCTCCTTCCCTCTCCTGCTCGGCCCTTTTGGATCTCCAAAAATTGCTGCAAGCTATCAATAATTCAGAGGTGGCACAAGATTCATTCAACCAAACCGGGGTCAGGGAAGGCCAGCCGAAGCGCCAGCTTTTCATGGAAAGCTTGACCGGAAATGGCTTGCACAACTACCCCCCCCCCCAAAAAAAAATAAAAATAAAATCTGGCCGTCTCACATTATCGCAAACGGTGTGGATCCATTATTATTATTATTATTATTATTATTATTATTTTGCACGCGCTGTTAAATTCCCTCTCCTCTCTCGTCCTTTTGGCCAGCTTCCCTCTAAAACGCTTAAAAGCTTTTCTAGAAGATTGGCAAAACCTTTTTTCTTTTCTTTTCTTTTTTTGTGGAGGGAAGGAAAGAGACCGTTGGGAATTGGGAGTGGAGGGAGGAGGGGGAAAAAAACGAGCCCTCCGCCTGGTTTCTCGGCCTGGGTCACCTTGGAGACCTCCCCTCAATTCCCTCCCCGCCTCTGGCCCGACGGAAAGAGCAGACACATTAAACTGGGAAAGAGCTCCGTGGCGAAGCCGTCTGCTGATGGGCGAGCCAGGAGTGCGGTTGTGTTAAGCTCTTACGGGAAACACACACACGCACGCACACAGGAGAGGGGCTCACGTGGGCAGCTACGAAGTGGGTGGGGCTGAAGAGGGCAACGTGGTCTTCAGAGGAGCGTAATGTAAGAAGGGCTGGCTTTAAAAGGGAGGGAAGGGCAGGGATGAGAAGGGAAGGGGAGGGAGGAGGAGGAGGAGGAGGAGGAAGAGGAGAAGGGAAGGGAGGAGGAGGAGGAAGAGGAGGAGGAGGACTCTAAGTCTTCACGGTGTCTTGAAGTTGGTTGTTTTCTGTAGATGTTTCATGACCCAACTAGGTAACATGATCAGTGCTAAAAGGGGGATGGATTTGCAGGGAGGAAGAGGAGGAGGAGGGGGGGAGGAGGAGGGGGGGGGGGGACGACGACCTGTGGGGTCCTTGGTGGTTTCTGGGCTTGGTAGGGTTTTTTGGCAGACATTTCATTGCCAAACTAGGTAACAACATCAGTGCTAGAAAGTTTGGGGATTTCAAGAAGGGAAAAGGAGGAGGAGGGAAGGAGAAGAAGAGGAAGAGGAAGAGGAGGAGGAAGAGGAGGAGGGGAGGAAGAGGAGGAAGAGGAGAACTTATAGGGTTTTTGGAGCTCTCTGTGCTTGGTTGGCTTGGTTGGCAGACATTTCATTACCAAACTAGGCAACATCCTCAGTGCAAGAAAAGATGGGGAAAAGGAGGAGGAGGAGGAGGGGGAGGATTGTGGGGTCCTTGGTGCTCTCTGAGTGGTTTTCTTACAGTGGTTTCATGGCCCAACGAAGGAACATCATCAGTGGCTCTACACAACACACACCCCAGTTGGCGATAGGCAGCACGGATGCCGTTCCCAAGTTGGGTCACGAAACGCCTGCCAGAAAGACCACCCGGCCCAGCATAGAATCCCAGTTTCCCGGAAGGGAGACCCCCCCCCGCCCTCCCCGCCTCTGACCTTCGTAAGCCTGATGCAGGAGGTTGAAGAGCTGTTCAGCCTGCCTCTTGAGTTCGGGGTCTCTGTGCTTGTCGGGATGGTACAACATGCACAGCCGGCGGTAGGCGGCTTTCAACTCCTCTTGAGAGGCCTGCGGTGGGGGAGGAAATAAAAGACCAGAAAGGGGGCAATTAAACCAGCAATCAAGGCTATTGAGCTCCCAAATCTGCTGGATAAGGGAAGCCAAGCTTTGCTGGTCAGGAGGTCGCAAGTGCGGATCATGTAACCCTGGGACGTTGAGACCGTCATAAATTCGAGTCGGTTGGCGAGCGTCTGAATTTTTGACCACGGCAGCGGTCGTAAGTGTGAAAAACGGTCAGAAGTCCGCTTCTGAACTTGAAGCGGTCGCTAAAACAAATGGTTGTAAGTCAAGGCCTTCCTGTATTAGGGAAGCTATCATTAAACCACCATGCAAATACAGGAATATCCCTGAGGTTTATGCAACTGAAGACTTTATTTAAGCGGTGGAAAAAAATGTGCCTAGCTTCCTGGAACAATTTTAAACAGTGGAACGACTGGCCACCAGAAGTTATGAATGCTCCAACACTGGAAGTTTTTAAGAAGAGATTGGTATAGGGTTTCCTGCCTGAGCAGGGGTTAGACTAGAAGACCTTCAAGGTCCCTTCTAGCTCTATTGATTGATTATCATTGATTGATTGAAATGGTCACTTCCAACCCTATTCTAATTGATTTGGTCCACTGACATGGTCTAATCTCCTGTTTGGGGGCTGGACTAGAAGACCCCAAGGGCCCCTTCCAGCTCTAACCTTAATGGATTGATCTTGGAATCATCTCCTGGCCTTCACAAGTCGAAGAGCCCAGGTTCTGTTCTTAAAGTCAGCAGAAAACAACCTCAAGACCGTTTTCAATATACATAGCGGGACTGGAGCCATTCCTGAAACTGAGATTATTATTATTTTTTGTTCTGTTGTTTTTTAAAAAAACAATTCTTAGTTCATCTACATGCAAATTGGACAAAACCTGCCAGGTTTTGAAAACGCATCTCGCTGCCTCTCTTATAATTTAGGAGAATGAACGCCGATAAGGAAGGAGTAGAAATTCTGGCTGGGCCGAGACTTTTATTTAATCAAACCGGTGATAAATGGCTTCATGTGCTATTGATTAAGTCATAGAAGTGCGCCGTTCAATTCCCCTCCCCCCTCCCCCCACGCAAATATCATGTTCAATAAAATGCAAAATTGGGCTTTTCATCACCGTCGGGGGGGGGGGGGGGGGGAATCGCTACGGTCACCGGCTCAATATTGCACGAACAAAGAACACCTCTCCAGCGGCTGCCCGAAACCCTGACAGCATTTCAAGTCGTAATGAGAGACTAATCCTGATACGGGGAGTCCCCGAGTTATGGCCGCAACCGAGGCCCAAATCCACACATCGTAAAATGAGGCGAAATTCGCTTCACAGCAGTCTCACGGCAAAATAGAAATTTAGGACTCAATTGTCGTCGTAAGTCATTTTTTTTTGGTCATTGCCAGAACTATTGGCAAGAGCCACATTCCCCCCCCCCCCGCCCCCATTCTCATCTCATCCTGGTCTGTTTAACTCTGCTCTCTTCCATCCTCCTGGTCAGACTAACCAGGATAAGAGAGGCAGGAGGAGGAAGGACACAGAATCGGGGAGATCGGTTTGCAAATTTTAATAAAATCATTTTGGCAGGATTTGGTTTCTTTAAAAATAGGTTGGGGATGCGAGAAGCAATTAACTCGAGACGCCTTCCCCGAAGCCAGCATTCAAAGCTTGAACGTGCCTGGAAGCCCCACCTTGGTTCGATCTTGATTTATAAGTTTCTCAATTAAATGGTCTGTCATAGCAGCCTTATATTTTGAAAGGACCCTGACAGGTTTCATGGCTCCGTTCGCCTCTGCTTCGTGTTTTTTTTTATCCCTCCTGGCAAATCATCGGATCATGGAAATCAACCCTGCCATCTTTCCTATTTAATAAACATAGTTCTGGGGGTCTTCCTGTTCTGGATGCAGCCCAAAATTAATAACTATAAAAGAACTGTCATCTTGTCAAAACATTTGCCTGTGTGAGGCCCTGGACAGATTTGATCCTGTGGGAAATAAACAGAATTCCCCCCTCTATTTATTTGTTTAGCATTAGTTTATTAAAGGGTTTTCTCGCCTTCTTTTCAAACATAGCCTGTGAAAAATGTCATTTTTCATATTACATATTACAACCTATTAAGGAGAACTTAACAAAGGACGTGAAGCATAGCCTTCAACTATTTTTAAAAACTACTTGGTTCTTTTTAAAAAAAAATGTAATAGATGAAATCGTGCATGGTTCTAAGGGGAAGAAATTCACATAAGTGTGAAGACAGTGAAAATAAAATTTGGCAAAATTAACTACGGAGTTCTTAGTGCTCTCTGAGCTTGGTTGTTTCCTTGCAATGTTTCATGACCTTACTAGGAAACATCATCAGTGCTAGAAGGGAGTGGGGTTTGTGGAGAGGAAGAAGAGGAGGAGGGAGGAGGAGGAAGAGGGGGAGGAGGAAGGAACCCTTTATTTTTGCCACTATCGAATATATCCCCGTAAAAGCCACAAAACTTTCAAGAACTGAATAGAGGGCCCACGTGTCTTTCAATTAGCCATTAACTCTGCAAAGGAATCTATTCTGCATTTTTGGCAGAATGTTAATAATGATGGTAGAAAAACAAGAGTTTAGTGTCGTTCCGATTTTATTTTTCCCTCAGGCCAATTTAAACCGGGGAAAGAGCCGAGCGGTAGATCTGCTCAGACGAAAGCTCTCCCGAACTAATTAATCCAAAATTTAATGCACAATACACTAACAAGCACCATTTTCTCTATCTCTGGTGGTGCAGTTGGTTTTTTGATATAAAAAGATGCTCAAATCTGAAAATAGATGGAAGAGAGATATTGTATCCAGAGATTGGGAGGATCGGTAGTCAGTAAAAAGGAAACCAGCATAATCCATAAAACCATTGTCCAGTCAATAGAAGTAGTCGAGTTATGGCTGTTCAATGAAGTGACCATTCAAAGAAGACTGAAAGAAGTGACTTATGTCCATTTTTCACATTTACGACAGTTGTACCATCCTGGGGTATATACAGATAGATTATAGATTATATATCTATATCTATCTATCTATAGATATGTATCGCATATGTGTGTGTGTGTGTATGCATGCAAATATGTGTGTGTATATACATTTATGTATATGTATATATATATATACATATATACAATACAGAAGCCTGATGATGGCAGATGAGATTCTGCCGAAACGTTGCTACAACTTTAAAAGCACAACTATAATGACGTGGGAAAATACCCGAACAAAGCTGAATACCAGACATATATGTATATGTATATATGTGTGTATATGTATATATGTGGGTGTGTATGTTCAAATACAGCACATGGATATGTGTGTGTTTGTATGGGCATTGGTATACAGGTATTCCTAGAGTTACAACAGTTCATGGCACTGACAAAAATGACTTAGGGCTGTTTTTCACTCTTACGACCATGGCAGCACCTCCTTGGTCACATGATCAAAATTGAGACGCTTGGCCACTGACTTGTTGCTATGTCTCAAGATCACGTGATCCTCTTTTGCGGTCGCCTGACGAGCCAAGTCAACAAGGAACGACCATGTTAACAACTGCAGTGATTCACTGAACCACTGCGGCAAGAGAAGTCGTAAAACTGGGCAATGCTCACTTCGCGAATGTCTCGCTTAGCCACATCAATGTTGTACTCAATTGTGATCATAAGTCAAGGACTACCTTGCATATGTATGTGTATGGAGAGAGTGAAGATAGACAGACAGACAGATGGATAGATAGATGGATAGTTAGAGACAGATAGATGATAGATGACATAGTATACATACATACATACACACATACATACATACACACACAGGTCTGTCTATCATCTTTCCCTATCTATCCTGTTAAGAGTTGGCATCAGAATTTCACCTTTAATCCGTGCCAGAGCGTACATAGAAAAACTGACAGTAAAGGATTATGTGTGGGCAAAGGGGTGGACTAGATGACCTCTAGAGGATCTGCCAAAGTGCCTTTTGGGCCCCTCCTCGGCGGGAAAACCTCCAAAATCGAGATCTTCTCAGCTCTGGGGCAAAAGGAGAGGCTCCTGCTTCGCATACCACATTAATTATACATTTGACCGAAATCCCCGCCCGCTTCTGTCCTGTCAATGACTGGCCGAGCCTCCCAGCGTGCTCTCCCTAACGCCTCCCGGTCCCGGATCGCCTCGGAGCGGATCCCCGGAGGAGGCCGGATCCCCTCAGCGCCTCACCTCCCGCCGCACATTCAGCAACGAATAATAGTCCTCATTGTCCGGCACTTCATCGCCTGAAGAGGCCGCCGCCATGTTGCCGACCTTTCACCTTCCCCGCGCGCATGCGCCGGCGAGCAAGCGCCCTTCCCTCCCCGCCCCGCACGCGGCCGCTCTAGGAAAAGAACAGGCCGGCCGCGGAACGTGCGAAACGAAGAGAAAAAAAAAAAACACAAAAAAAAGCCGGCGGTTGGAAGCAAACATGCGCAGAAGCGGCCGAAGGACGACCTCGAGGTTTTTGAAGGAGCCGCCGCGTGTGCCTTTGTCACGCATGCGTCCTAACGGCAGAGGGGAAAACCGCGCCTACTTGTGGGCGGGGCTACACGCTACCCGTCTGGGGTTGGCAGTAACGTGTGAACCACGTGCAAAAAAAATCTGGACTAAATGTTAATATATATTGCAAGTCCATATCCTAAAGCAAATAAATACACGTTCAAAATGCTTGTGATTGCGAGTTTATGCACATAGCATTTATTAATGTACATAAAGCCTTTTGAGAGCTGTATGCCATGAAATTTCATTTTAATGTATTCCGATCAGTGTACATTCTATATTCCATTCTATATTCCATTTTATATTCTATATTCCATTCTATTCTATTTCCTATTCTATATTCAAATCGATTGGATTCTATATTCTACATTCCATTCTATATATTTTATTCCATATGATTCAATTCTATATTCCATTCTGTTCTATTTTATATTCCATTCTATTCTATTTCCTATTCTATATTCAACTTGATTTGATTCTTACGCTAGTCTAGTCTACTCTAGCAGATATTTCATTAAATTTTTACAACAGCCTTCTCCACAACAAGGTGACTCTAATTAGTTCTTAGTGACTTAAGCGACTTATGACCATTTTTCACACTTATGACCATTGCAGCGGTCATGGGAGAGGGAGAAAAAGAAAGAGAGATGCACCCTCCAAGAAGGTCTTGCAACCAGCAGATCCCCAGTTTCTCCTCCAAAGGGACTAGGATGCTGCTTTCTTCTGTTAAACTGGTCTCCTTACCTGGGCTGGAAGCAGGGGGAGAGGACTGGAAGGGCTGGAGGCGCCTTTTGCAGATGCAGATGGGCAGAGCATGAATAATGCAAATTCCAATTCTTATGAAAATGAGGGAGCTTAATTGCATTACCTACAGAATGGAGGGGGGGGAGGGAGGGGGATGACAAACATTTTCGGGAGCTGTTTTGTGCCCTGTTTTGAAGATCCACTTGCCACCACAGAGCTCTGGATCCCCTCCAGCATCTCCTCCTCTGAAGATCTCAAGGTTGTCCTTCACTGCCTGGTCTTCTGCACTTCTCCAAGATCTGGAAACGTGTCCCTTCTCCTTCCTCGGGATCCCCCCTCCCCCCCCCCAAAAAAATGTCCTTCTCTTTTTCCAAAAAAAACCAGAAGGATTTCCTCTTCCTTCTCCTCAGATCTTGAGCAGGTCCTTCTCCTTCGGCGGGATCTCCTCCGCCTGCTCTTCACCAAGACCCCCTTGCCTGTGAAATGGCCACAACTGCCCGTGATCCCAGGACAATGTGAGTCCGTTGCCAAGCATCTGAACTTCGATCACGGCCGCAACGGTCGCATAAGGGTGAAAAACGGTCCCGAGTCCCTTTTTTTTTTCCAGAGCTGTTGCAACTTCGGTCGTTCAATGGAACCACTGTAAGTCGGGGACGACCTGTGGAGATGGGGGCAGCCTCATGAGTCCTCCCTTAATCTTGGTTCCCTGCATGGAATTGGGACTTTTAAGGGAAGCACTAAGCTGAGCATTGGGATGATGGCGACGTCTCTAAGGAGGAGGGGTGGTGGTGGAGAGGAATTATATATACATATGTATATTTTTTAACAAGAAAAGCCTTTGGAAGAATCTCGGGGTCTTCTGAACCCGGTGGTTCAGTAAACAGAGATCTTTGCGCAGCCTGTGGCTTCCCACTCTGGGATTCATTAAAGTCTCCACTCTCCACTTTGCCTGGGTAACCTTTCTTTTATGCCTTTTAGGAGGTGTAGGGCCCCCCCAAAAGTCAAGTCTATTATCGGCACGGCTCAGAGGGGAAAGGATCCTGCCCACCCTTGAAAGAACATGATGCTTAATGTTGCGTGAGGCTTCTGCTCCAGATGCTGCTGTCAGAGAGGCTCAGGTGAGAGGCTGGGCCTGGGGGAGGGAGGGAGGGAAGGAGACAGGCTCTCTCTCTCTCTCTCTCTCTGCCTTCTATTTTTCTATCTCTCTCCTTCCTTCCTCCCTCCCTCCATTCCTTTCCTCACCAATCCTTCTATCCTTTCTCCTTCCTTCCTTTCCTTCCTCTCCTCGTTAATCCTTCTTTCTCCTTCCTACCTTCTGTCCCTTCTATCTATCTTTCTATCTCTCTTTCCTTTCCTTCTCCCTACCTTTTCTTTCCTTTGTACCTTCCTTCCATCCATCCATCCACCCACCCTCCCATTCCCCACTTCCTTCCTTCTCTCTCTGCCTTCTATCTTTCTATCTCTCTCCTCCCTCCCTCCCTTCATTCTTTTCCTTACTAATCCCTTCCTTTCCTTTCCTTTCCTTTCCTTTCCTTTCCTTTCCTTTCCTTTCCTTTCCTTTCCCTCCCTCCCTCCCTCCCTCCCTTCCTTCCTTCCTTCCTTCCTTCCTTCCTTCCTTCCTTCCTTCCTTCCTTCCTTCCTTCCTTCCTCCCTGTTTCCATTTGAAGCCAAGCCGGGGATTCCCCTGAAGCAATTGTAAAAAAGCAGAGAGGGCTTAGCCTCACACAGACCCTCCTCCTCCTCCAGGGACACCTTACCAATCCTTGCTATGCTGACGATCCCCAGATCCTGCCTGCAATCTCCCAGAGACCCCTGCCCATTTCTGGAATCTGATTTCGAGACAAGGAACAGAAGAAGGGAAATTAATTCTTCGCACAACCTAAGAGCTTGTGGGAGTTGATCACAGTTAAAATCGAGAAAGAAAGAAAGAAAAAAAAAGCAAGGGCCCTAGAAGCATTAAATCAGATTTCTGGCCACCGCAGAAGCCTTTCACCGCCTCGGATTAATTTCTGTGGGAAATTGGAACTCAGTTACCTTTACTCCTACATCTGTCTTTCCTTCCCACAGCCTGGAGGGATACCTGACATTTTAAAACTCGTCTCGGGGTGGGTGGGTGGGTGGGTTGCTGGCTTAATGCAATACCCCCCCCCCCCACAGTCTTTTCTTCCCCGGCGGGAAGAGATTTTCCATTACGAGAGCCTCCTTTTATAGTCCCGCATTCCAATTTAGGAAGAAATACGTCCCGATCAAATATTGATGGGCGGAAAACAAATCGGATTTTCGAGCGATGAGACAGACGGACGAGACTTTGGATGGTCGCGCCTCCGTCGTAGCCAAACAGGAGGGGAAAAATAAAAATAAAAAAATCCTTCCCTGCCAGGAAATTTCTCCTTAGCTCTCCAGCTGCAGAAGGGATGAGAGAAAGACAGGAGAGAAAGAAGAGGAAAAAAAACAAAAGGAGGAGGATAAGAGTGATGGGTTCAGGAAGGGTGTGAGACGTGACCCAAAGAGGGTTTTGGAAAGAAGACGAGAATATTCCTTGGCCAAGGACGGCACAGAAATGTGAAATGAATTCCCCAGAGGGAATATCAACAAGTGAGCATGTTGTTCCAAAATGTTCCCCTGGTATCTTTTGCTTCTATCTGGGGGGACATTTCACCCCCTGATCCTGTTGCCACCCCCAATGTTATTGTGGAAAGGGCTGGGGGTCCTTTTTTTGTCTCTTGGCCCGAGAAGTAAATCCTCTCGGCGACAGAGAAGAAGAAGGAATCCATCCCACACCTGAAGATGCTCCCTACACGGTTTGGTTGCCAGGCTAACACAAAAAGGTTGTTTCCAGGAAACGCTGAAAGCCATTCAGACATGAAAATCGACTCAGAAGGCTGAGATTCAAGGCTGATTATTGCTTTCCTCCCCTCCCTCTTTTCCCCTTCCTTCATTCCTTCTCCTTCCTTATTTTCACTTCCTTCCTTCTTTCCTTCCCTCCCTTCCTCCTCCATCTCCTCCCTTCCTTCTATTCCTCCCTCCCTCCATTCCTTCTCCTTCCTTATTTTCACTTCCTTCCTTCTTTCCTTCCCTCCCTCCCCCATCTCCTCCCTTCCTTCTATTCCTCCCTCCCTCCATTCCTCTTCCTTCTCTTCTTTTTCTTCCCTTCCTTTTCGTTCCTCCCTTCCCTTCTCTCATTTTTCCTTCCTTTCCCCCTTTCATTCTTGTTCTTTCGTTCCCTCTCTTTCTCTCCAGCCATACTCCTCCTCTTCATCTGGAGACCTTCCAATCGGGTTGGAAGGGACCCTGGAGGTCTTCTAATCCAACCTTCTGCTCAAGCATATAGGAGACCCTATATCAGGGGTCCCCAACCACCGGTCCGCGGACCGGTACCGGGCCACGGAACAAGTCCTACCGGGCCGCTGGTTTGCTGGGCACCACCATCTATTTTTGATGAAAAAGTGCTTCCGGTGAGCTTTCAAAAAAAGATGGCAGCGCCCAGCTGATGCCGGTACCGGGCCGTGGTGCCCAGCTGATGCCGGTACCGGGCCGCGGCATAAAAAAGGTTGGGGATCACTGCCCTATATCACTCCAGTCAAATGTTTCTCCCATCTCTTCTTGAAAGCCTCCATCGATAGAGCACCCACAACTTCTGGTAGCAAGCAGTTCCATAGTCTAATTGTCCTCCCTGTCAGAAAATTCCTCCTTAATTCTAGGTTGCTTCTCTCCTTGATGAGTTTCCATCCGTTGCTTCTTGTCCTGCCTTCTGGTGCTTTGGAGAATAGCTTGACCCCCTCTTCTCTGGGGCAGCCCCTCAAATACTGGAAGATGTTATCATGTCACCCCAGTCCTTCCCCTTCTCACATTAGACCCACGTAGCTCTCTCAATCTCTCATTCCTGCACCCCTAGGCTGCAGGCTAGGTGGACTAGGAAGATTGTATCTCAACATCATCCGCCAACATGTGGTGAGAGCAGATCAACCAGAGACAAGACAGATCGGGCCATGAATTCTGCCGTTCCTCTTCCAGCACGATTCTCAGGCTGAAATATTTAAGATTTAGCTGCCTTCCTTTGGTAAATAATTGATGTTCCATCTTAGCAGCTGGAGAACATCAACCCTCTGCATTGTTGACAAGCAGAACAGAGCGTTCCAAGATGTTTGCTGGAAGTGAATTTGGACCTCCTGGAAAAAGGACTTCTTCTTTTGGCTTGTACACAGGTTGCTGTCTTTCCCCCCAAAAAACACGCGGGTTGGCGGGCAGGTGGGAACGAGCCCCAGGAGCGATGGGGTCGGTTTTCGTAAGGCAGAGGGAGTCCTCGATTTGCGACTGTTTGTTCAAAGTTACGACATCCTCATACTTTAGAGCAAGGGCCTCCAACCTTGGCCACTTTGGAGGCAGGCGGACTTCAACTCCCAGAATTCCTCAGGCATGAGAGCCTTAAAGACTTGTGGACACCAACTCCCCAAATCCCCCCCAGCCAGCCGTGATCAAAATTGGGGCAATCGGCATGTTTCTTTTTGAAAACCTCCAGTGATAGAACATTCACAATTTCTAGTGGCAAGCTGTTCCACTGGTTAATTGTCCTCCCTGTCAGAAAATTTCTCCTTTAATTCTAGGTTGATTCTCTCCTTGATGAGTTTCCATCCGTTGCTTCTTGCTCTACCTCCAGGTACTTTGGAGAATAGCTTGACTCCCTCTTCTTTGGGGAAGCCCCTCAAATACTGGAAGGCTGCTATCAGGGTCCTTCGTTCTGTTCAACTAGACATACCCAATTCCTGCCTCCGTTCTTCGTATGTTTTATCCTCCAGTCCCCTAATCACCTTTGTTGCTCTTCTCTGCACTCTTTCCGGAGTCTCACCATCTTTTTCCTTCCCCCTTCAAAAAGAGCCAGTGACTTTTGAGGAGGGCATCAAAGCGCCTTGCCCACAACCTTGTTTTAGCAAGCTGGAATCTTGATCCGTCTTCCTATCTCCAGACCAGATCCACGCAAAAAAGCACACCTCTGGGAAGAATTCTGTTTTTGCTGGATGGTCGGCTTTCTTCCCCCACACATCCCCCCTCGATGAAATCCTCACTTCCTCTGCACCTTTTCTGTGCAACTTGTCAAGGGGAGAAGTTTCTCTGTCTCAAGGGCATCCATGCTTTTGAGAACCATAGACGATTCTTATCGAGTCAGCCCACAAACAATCATCTCTCTTATCACAGCAAAACGAGGTTTCTTCCCTTGCTCTGCGGTTTCTTATTCCGCACCTTCTCGGTTGCAGATTTCCAGAGAAAGTGGGCAAAGGAGAGAGAGAGAGACAAGAGAGACAGACAGACAGGGACACAGAGAGAGACAGAGCGAGAGAGACAGATTCAGACAGAGAGAAAGAGACAGACAGAGACAGAGACAAAGACAGAGAGAAAGAGAGATGGATGAATGGATGGAAATGTTCCTACATCTTTTTCGATATAGGAACTGCCCAACTTCAGACTGACAGATCACGTCACCCGATGGACACGATATATTGCTGTTACCTAGTACGAATAAGTTTATATTATGCAAATTCCCCCATTCTGTCCATTTTATCCTGTGGCTTATCAGCCTGGGATTTGGGAGATGGGATCATTTAAATATTGCCATGGAGTCTTAATGGCACTGGATCAATGAAAGATGATGAAATAAAGAACAAGTAAAAAGTAGGAAGTTAAGCCAGATACGTTGTTGCTAGAGAAACTGCATGGTGAAAATTACACTTGGGTGGTGTAGAATGATTTCCCAGCACTTCCTTAAACCCAGAGAAGGAGCTGTTTGGATTGCAAACTTTTAGAGATACTAATTCCGTGAGAGACAACGAGGGTAAATTTGTGTTTATCAAAGAGGGAATTACAAAGGAGAGGATCTAATTATAAGATCAATATATTGCCCCAACTGCAATCAGTCGGTATTTATGCAATCACTATTGCAAAAAAACAAAAACAAACCTAAACTCATTAAGAATTGGAAATGTCATTAGAAAGGGAGGGGGGAATTTCAACCAAGTTTCGGATAACAAATTATGGTGATTTTCTTAAAAAAAGGCAACAGGGGAAATAGGACGATAATTTTGAAAAATCTCGGCTTGTGCTGATTTGATTTGATAATTTGGTGAGAGAAACATCCAGTTGAGAACAAGGATGATGTCTGTCACTCAAATTAAAAGAAAAAGGGCCAAATTCCAGATACTTTAAGGTTCGGAAAATGTTTTCTGATGGCATTTTGTCATTGTCAATTATTCCAGATTAATTCCCTGCCAATGCACCCACTTTGGGATGGTAAGTAGTCCTCAATTTATGACCAACATGGGGGCCAAAATTTCCGCTGCTAAGCAAGACAGTTGTTAAATGGAGCTTTGCCCCATTTTACAACCTTTCCTGGCTGCAGCTGTTAAGTGAATTATTGTGGTAACCCGGTTATTAAGTGGATCTGGCTTCCCTACTGACTTTGCTAGCAAACAGGGAATCACATGAACTTCAGCCATCGTAAATACGAGTCAATTGTTGAGTGTCTGAATATTAATCACATGACTCTAAAACGGTCACAAGTGTGAAAAAAAAGTCCCTTTTTTCAGTTCCCTTCTTTCTTTGAACAGTCACTAAATGGACTGTTGTAAATCAAGGACTACCTCAAATTCCCCCCCTTCCGCTTTAAAGTGAGATTATTTGGGGGAGGGGCATCTAACTTTGTCACATTTCCTCTTTTTAAGTAATAATAGTGGAATTTTAGCTATTTTACCCCCTTTTTCTTCCATCATTTCCTTTCCTTAATGGACGGTGGGAACGCTGCCGATGTAATACATCTTGATTCCAGAAAATCGAGAGCTTTTGATCCAGAATCCCTCGGTTGTTCATGACAAGGCTGGCTGAAAAAACAAAAAAACAGATCCCAGGGGATCCTTCATCGGAGGTGCCCCAAGCATTCGGGTCTTCCCCTTATCCTGCAGGGTTTTGCTGGCCAAGGGATGCAATCAGGAGCTCAGGGTGGTCGCAAAAGAGGCCTGACCTGAAAATAAATTATAATAAGAGCGAAATAAGGGTTTGGATTGGAAGACCTGCATGTGTGCACGCGTTCACACGTGCAATTGGAATGCGTGCAGCTGGAAAAAGTTGCAATGCCCGGCCTTGGGAAGGCTATGAAGGACGCACCGCCCTGCAAAATACCGCTGGGGCGCGATCCCTTCCTCGGAAGCCGCCTATCGAAAGGACGGGATCCCGGGAATCTTCCAATGACACGCGTGCCCGGCCGCCGCCACGCGACTCGCATTCCAGGAGGCGGGATCCCGCGGAGGGGGGAGGAGGGGGAAAAGGGAGAACGCGTTGGCCAATCAGCGGCGCCGCTTCGCTCCGGCCCTTTCCAGGTGGCAGCTCCGCTCCCTCGCGTCTGGGCCAATCAAGAGCTTTGTTTAGGGTTAGCGGGCCGAGGAGGGCGCGGCTGCCTGTCAAGGAGGCCGAGCCAATGAAATCGCCCTTTGGATTTTTTCGCCCTGCCCCCCTCGGAGCGCTCGCGCTCTCCTTTCTCCCCCCCGCCTTCCCTACTCTTGAGCCGCGCTACCGGTGCTCCCCGCTATTTGCGTCACTGACTTCTTCCCGCCTTTCAGAGCCTCTCCGTCCGCCTATTCGCCGCCGCGGCTGTCAATCGCGCCATCGCTCTCCCTCCGCGGCCACCGATTCGCTACTGTCCCTCGTTCAGCACTAACGAGCGCCTCCTCCTCGTCCCCCTCCTCCTTCCATCCTAGCTGCCCTCGCGCTTCCGATACGCCTCCCCTTTCCTGGCCCCGCCCACTTGTCAAGACCACCGGCGTGCTTGCCAGTCAAGGTCCATCCTCTCCTCGCGCCCGCCTCCTCCCCAGCGCCGGTTGGCTCACCTCGACGCCCATCCCGCCGAGCGGCCAATGGCAACCGCGGGCGTGTGTAAGGGAACGTGAGGAGGACGAAAAAGAAGGACGAAAAAGGCGGCGGAAACCGCGCCGGCGGCGGCGGTGGCGGCAAAGGCAGGCCTCCCGAGAGAAGCCACGGCCGCCCGAAGCCACCGAGGGGGAAGAAAAGCCGGCTACGGGCCGCCGGGAAGGCGGGAGCGGAACCGGAAACGGAGGAGAGGAAGGGGCGGGGCCAGCGGGAGAGGCGGCGACAGCAGCGGCGGCGGCGGCGGCGGGAGCAGCGCGCGCGCCTGCCTGGATCCTGGTCGCGAGGAGGAGGCGGCGGAGGAGGATGTGGCGCGCGGAGGGGAAATGGCCGCCGAAAACAAGCCGGAAGGTGAGCGGGGAGAGCCGGCCGGGCGGCCTTCTGATGGGGGGAAGAACCGACCGACTGACTGGATGGCTGTGAGGGGAAGCCGGCGGGAACGCGCATGCGCGGCCCCTCCGGAATTGCCTCCTCCTCCTCCTCCTCTTCCTTTCTCCTCCTCGCCTCCCCGCCCTTCGCGTTCCTCGCGGGGGGGGGGG